TGAAGACAAGAAGCTTTCATGCCAAGGCCTAGCTCTTAGGCCACCATTCAATTTCATGTCCTTTTAAAAAGTTCAGTTGCAGTTTTCTGTTTGGTGTGTATGTGTGTGTGTGTGTGAGAGAGAGAGAGAGAGATTGCACAAATATGGTTGAACTACTGTACAGTGGTACCTCGGGTTACATACGCTTCTGGTTACATACGCTTCAGGTTACATACGCTTCAGGTTACAGACTCTGCTAACCCAGAAATAGTACCTCAGGTTAAGAACTTTGCTTCAGGAGGAGAACAGAAATCGTGCAGCAGCAGCGCAGCGGCAGCAGCAGGCCCCATTAGCTAAAGTGGTTCTTCAGGTTAAGAACAGTTTCAGGTGAAGAACGGACCTCCAGAAGAATTAAGTTCGTAACCCGAGGTACCACTGTACTGTGGTAGACAGTAAAAACAACATTTCCTTTGCACTATTCCGAGTACCTCTGTCCCACAAACTGTTATTTGATGTACGTAGGGGAAACAAATAAATCTGTTCTCAAAAAGTTTTGAGAAATGCTGCCTTGTAATCAACATAACCATCACATTCAACATCATTTTGACTCGTTGCTTGGGTGGAACCAGTAGCAAGTGGTAGGTCTCATTCAGTGCATCTCCGCACCCTCTAACAATTGCTCCAGGAAAGGATTATAAATTCCTTGGCTGTGCAAAAAAGAAAAGAAAAGAAAAAAGACGTGGGTGGAGTCTTTTGAATGAGGCACAAAGTCAGAAAGCTGAAAAACTGGTTGAGGAAGATATGCACGAGCTTTGTAATGACATCCAGAACAGAAAATTTAGCAACAGGTAGGAATAAGTGAATGGATTTAATATTAATCCAACCTCATGCCGGGGTGGCAAAAGTGGTTTCCCCAGATTGGCCCATGACTGCCCCCGTCCAGACTGCAAAGTCTGACAGACACGATGATCACTGTAGAATGAAACCGAATAAGAGATTACTCTTTTATCTTCCTTTGATAACAGCATATAGGAATGCGGACTTTTTGGTATGGGGCAAAATATATTTGGCACATATCCATTATAGTATGGAAAAAATGCAAACCTGTACATATTTCCGCTGTATTATTCTTGCTTCCTATTCAAGTGTGTTTAAGGCCCTGTCTGCATTCTCCACTTAAAGCAGTATCATACCACTTTAAACAGTCGTGGCTTCCCCCAGAGATTCTTGGGATCTGCAGTTTGTTAAGGGTGCTGTGAGTTGTTAGAGGAGACTTCCGATTCCCCACACAGAGCTACAACTCCCAGAGTTTCCTGGGAAGAATTGATTTTAAAATTACTTATGGGGTGGGTGTCCTATGACTGTAATTCAATGGTGCAGCGCTTTGGAAACATGTTCAAGTCCAACCTTGAGCATCTTTTGGAAGCAGCGTGAAGCCTGTTTCTCTTGGCAGTCTTTCAGGTCCAGGGTTAAGTCTGCAGAAGATTTGTGGCTTTAATAGATTTTAATTGATTTATTTTAACAATTAAATGAGATTATTGTTCTAGCCCAGGGTTCACAGCTAGAAATAGCTGCGGCAATAAAATGACAGAGAGGAGCAGAACCTTATGGGGAGAGATTTACAGCAAAAACGGATCTGACGAACTCACCAGCCTTAATAAACAGCAGCCCACAAATTAGAGAGTGAAACAGCTTCTGTCACAAATGTAAAGATCAAGAGAAACAGATGAATGTAGGAGGTTTGAGATGCAGAAAGCGTTAACACTCACTTAACAGGGGGGAAAAGGCACCCTGTTTTAATTTAAGGGGATAAAATGGCTTCAGACAACTTTCAAAAGACGTTCTGGCAGATTCTGTCTCCCCACCGCCCTGAAACAAAATGCAAAACTAAAAGACACTGACTGATATCCTCTAATTTTTATCTTTTTGGGGGGAGGATACCCACAAATACAACACATTGGGCCAGTTTACACCTTAAAGTATGGCAAACAATAGCTTACTGCAGGGGTGGACTCTTTGGTTCCACAGGTCAGATCCTTTTCAGGATGGACCTTGTGGGCCAAATTTGATGGGTAATGGGCCACCCAACTGCCCATTGCCTGACATCACAATGACATTAGGTGCAATGTGCTTTGAAGTCCCAAAGTCAGGGCTTCAAAGTGCCTTGCAAGGCACTGTTAACATGAAGGTTTCCCCCCAATGTTTTAGAAAGGAATCTGATGTGAACCCCTTCCTGAATCAAGAACACCATGAGAAGCAAAGACCCAAAACACAGCATTAAATCCAAGTCGGACATGACATCGTTGTTGAAATTATGCTGTTCAGTCTAAATCATCCTTCCATAATATTCCATGTGTGGAGGGAGAGTTGAACCTGTGTTTTGTTCTATTAGCATGCCTAATACAAAAATCATGTGTATTTTATTTCTGATACTCTTTGGCTGCCTTAGCTGTTATTTAATTACTGCATAGGTTTCAGATTCTGTTTTTACACTGCATTTATTAGCGTATTGCTGCTTTTTATCATGTTGCATAAGCTACCCTGGGAATGAATTTTCAAGGGCAGTGTTGGGGCATAAATCCCCAAAAGCAAGAATTTGTCAAGAATGTATAACTTGCTGTTGAAATGGAATACTCAGGATGAAACGGTGAAATCTGCTATGATTAAATGGGCACAAGATGTTGGACATAATATTATGTTTGCTGACTGGGAACAGTTATGGACCACAGGTATGAAGTTTACGGCATGTAATGCCCTAAGAGAGAATATTATGAAAATGATATACAGGTGGTACATGACCCCAGTCAAGCTTGCAAAAATCTATCATTTGCCCGACAATAAATGCTGAAAATGTAAAGAAACTGAAGGTACATTCTTTCACCTTTGGTGGACGTGCCCAAGGATTAAGGCTTTCTGGGAAATGATATATAATGAACTGAAAAGGTATTTAAACATACCTTCTTGAAGAAACCAGAGGCCTTTCTCCTAGGCATAGTCGGCCAATTGGTGCCAAAGAAGGACAGAACTTTTTTTATGTATGCCACAACAGCAGCAAGAATACTCATTGCAAAGTATTGGAAGACACAAGATTTACCCACTGTGGAAGAATGGCAGATGAAGCTGATGGACTATATGGAACTAGCAGAAATGACTGGCAGAATCCGAGACCAGGGAGAAGAGTCGGTGGAAGAAGATTGGAAGAAATTCAAAGATTATCTACAGAAATATTGTAAAATTAATGAATGTTAGAATGATGTTGGATAGTAATTAAGTGGTTTCCAGCTGTAATGCTTTAAGGGAATATGAAAAAAGGTTATAAATAGGTAAAAATCTAATGTTATTACTTTTAAAGGATTTGCTGAACCAACAGATTGAAGTGGAATACAAAAAAGGGAGGTATGAGGAGGTCCGGGAAATAAGTCAAAGGAAAATAAGTAATGGAAAATCTGTGTGTTTTTAACTATTTTTATTTTGTATTTTTGTTTTTTTTTCATTTTTATTGTAATATTTTAAAAAATCTTAATAAATATCTTATAAAAAAAAAAATAAATCCCCAAAAGCAATCAGATGCATGGAGCATTATACTCACTTGATTGTCAGATAGGCCCACGCACAACTGATGGTAACAGTGAGAATGTCAGCTGAATATTATATGAGTGTATCGACACATTACTGGGGACATGTTTTATTTATTTATTTATTTCATTTGTATCAATCCTTTCTTCCGCAGAGCTCAAGGTGGCAGATGTGGTTCTCATATTTTATATTTCACAACAACCTTGCGAGGTAGGGGAGAGAGAGAAAGAGAAAAGAGAGAGAGGGAGGAAGGGACTGGCTCAAGGCTGGCTCAAGGTTACCCAGTGAACTTCATAGCCAAGAGGGGATTTGAACTCTAGACTCCAAGTTCTTAATCCAACACTTTAACCACTACAGTTGTACCTTGGTTTACAACCATAATCCGTTCTGGAGGTCCAGTTGTAAACCAAAACATGTTGTAACCCAAGGCGCACTTTCGCCAATGGGGCCTCCCCCCCAAAAAATTGGTTGTAATCCAAAAAAATGGGTTGAAATCCAAAAAAAGGGACATGCACTTCTGGGTTTGACATGGTTGTAATCCAAAACGGTTGCAAACCAAGGTACCACTGTACATCATGCTGGCTCTGCTTGGCCGCACTGAGAGTGACAGATGTAGGTTGATCCAAAAGGAGTTGATAGATATAAAATACATCTGACCATCCTGGCAGATTTAATTAGAAGGGTTCAGTAAAGGTTTTACTCAAGTCACAGAAGGAGTAGTACAGGAGGGTATAGGTCACCTTCTTGCTTGTTCACTTGCCTCTTGTTCTGGTCCAGACCACAATGGTGACCCACCCAGTGAGGAGGAGGAACAGGAGAAACCTCTGGCTGCTTGCTCATTGGCTCTGCCTGACATGCAAGCAGGTGTCTTGCCAGAATGGTATATGCACTGTTTATCTCCTGCTTGGATTACTGCAATGCGCTCTATGTGGGACTACCTTTGAACGTGACTCAGAAACTACAACTAATCCAGAATGCGGATGCCAGGTGGGTGGGTGGGAGCAGCCACCAGGAAAATATAACACTGGTCCTAAAGTATATACACCAACTCCCATTTCCAAGCACAATTCAAAGTGTTGGTGGTGACCTTTAAAGCTCTAAACAGTCTCAGCTCTGTATACCTGAAAGAGCGTCTCCACCCTCGTTGTTCAGCCTGGACACTGAGGTCCAGCTCCAAGGGCCTTCTGGCAGTTCCCTTGTTGAGAACTGTGAAGCTGCAGGGAACCAGGCAGAGGGGCTTCTCAGTAGTGGTGCCTGCCCTCCCGTCAGATGTCAAACGGATAAACAACTACACAATTTCCCAATGACATCTGAAGGCAGCCCTGTTTGGGGAATTTTTTAACGTGTGATGTTTTGCTGTGTTTTTATACTGTTGGAAACCACCCAGAGCGTCTGGGGCAAGGTTTCTTGTCCAAGACGCCCTTCAAAATCTTTAGAGAATGGCTGCAGCTTAGTAGCAGAGTTCCTGCCTTGCATGCAGAAGGTCCCAGGTTCAACCCCCAGCATCTCCAGGTAGGGCTGGGAGAGACTCCCTGCCTGTAACCCTGGAGAGATGCTGCCAGTCAGTGTAGACAATACTGAGCTAGATTGACTGATGGTCTGACTCAGTATAAAGCAGCATCCAATCTTCCTAAATTTGGAGTTAATACTGTTTGTGTGTATTGGGGAGGGGCATGTGTGGGATGTGTGTGTGTGTGTGTGTGTGTGTGTGTGTATTTGTGGTGTGCATATTTTATATTCTGGGAAGATCCTTACAAACCTGATCAAGGATAAGGTAAAAGGAAGCACTCTCCCAGATAAGGCTCTGATTCAGATTCTAAGCATTATATATATATGCTTCAAAAACATTTTTATTACAGCTACAGTTCTTCAGTGTATCCCCCCCGCCCCTCCCTCTGCAGATGGAGTTTCTGCTCTTTGGTGAATTAATGGAACAGCCATTGTCAGGATATTCCCTCCCCTCCTGCCCTGACTTTTGAGAACTCACTGCTTCTGTTGACTCAAGAGATGAGTGTCCTTGGAAGAGAGATAGAGAGACGACTGGCCTTGGAAGAGAGATAAGAAAAAGGTTGCATTTACATTTTAAACCTTCAGATACAAGCAGAAGCTTTCTAATCATGTGCTAGCTGCAGGATGCACTAAACCAAACTGGAATGCCAGCAAGCTTCCTTTCGGCACTGAATCTTGGGTTGCAGCAATCATGTCTCCCTCCTCAGCTATCAGCCCATTCTCTTCCTTACCCATCTGCGTTGACTGCCATTTGTTCGCCTTTGTGGCTCCAGGGGTGCCTCTGTTTACCCAGGGTTCAGTTTCCTCAGAATGAAGTTCAGCAGAGATGGTTTTATTTACACATTTATGCAATCTGAGCATAGCATGGAGTGGCTCTCAGAATCAATACTTCAACAGATCTTGCCCCCCGCCCCCAAGTCACAGCTTAGGTTCAGCACAGAGCAAGGTCTGCCTCTGTGTATCCAGCTTCCAGCATCTGCCAAAACTCTCTCACATAAACTTTCTGTGCACAGCCCCCCTTGACCTACTGTTCTTGTTCATAGGCTGATGTGGCATCCAGCCAGGTGAGGTGGGAAAAGGCCCACCCATTTGTCTCTATGGCAACAGAGCAACCTCTTTGGATATGTTCATAGAATCATAGAATCATAGAATCATAGAGTTGGAAGAGACCACAAGGGCCATCGAGTCCAACCCCCTGCCAAGCAGGAAACACCATCAGAGCACTCCTGACATATGGTTGTCAAGCCTCTGCTTAAAGACCTCCAAAGAAGGAGACTCCACCACACTCCTTGGCAGCAAATTCCACTGTCGAACAGTTAACATGTTAAAGCACTGTACTTAATAACCCAGCCAAAACAATTATCGTAACAAAGGAACTGGTTCCACTGGTAACACAGCCTCTTTTCCTTGATTCTAAGCAGGCCTAGAGGGTACCAGGATATCATCCAGACTAATGCCCCAAACTCACAACAATATCCACAGTGGGACCCGGTTAACCTGCAACATCTGCAGGTCCTTAAATACTGAGGTTGTGTACACACTGTCCCTTTCGTAGCACAAAAATGTTGCTTTTCCCAATCCAAAATCATCCGTGCTCATCCTCAACATGCTGCTTTTGATCTTGCACCCACAAGGGCAGGGGTGGTTATTGGATACACATTTGAAAATCCTCTCCTTAAGTAGGCTATCCATGCCCTTTCGCCCCTGCACATTCCCTAGGTGAATGAAGAAGTGATGACTGTGATCTTGGTGTATGCCTACCCACCATGTCATTGGGCCAGTGGGGATGCATTTACTCCCCCTACAATTCCAGGACTACCTACATCTCTTTACACAGGTTTTCAAATGGACACACTACAGACTAATGCGGAATCAATCTGCAATGAGCTATTATTTCTGGAATGAAACCAGTTTCCCGAGAAGCACTTTTCAGGGCCTTTTTCTTTTTAATGCATTAGATCTAGATTGTGAGGGTTATGCGGGGGGGGGGGGGAGTAAGGGCTTAGTCTCCATTGATTATAGAAGAAAATGTTGTTGTGTATGCAGCCTGACTTTTGCCTAATGGCTTTCTTTCCTCAGACTTTTTCGTGTGTGCACTACGCCCCATTTTAGGGACGCGGGTGGTGCTGTGGTCTAAACCACTGAGCCTTGGGCTTGCTGATCAAGAAGGTTGGTGGTTCAAATCCCCACAATGGAGTGAGCTCCCTTTGCTCAGTCCCAGCTCCTGCCCACTTAGCAGTTTGAAAGCATGTCAAGTGCAAGTAGATAAATAGGTAGCGCTCCAGTGGGAAGGTAAACGGTGTCTTCTTGCGCTGCTCTGGTTTTGCCAAAAGCGGCTTAGTCATGCTGGCCACATGACCTGGAAAAACTGTCTGCAGACAAACGCCAGCTCCCTAGGTCTGTAAAGCAAGATGTGTGCCGCAACCCCAGAGTCGTTTGCGGCTGTACTTAACTGTCAGGGGTCCTTTACCTTTACCTTTTTTTTTACACACCATTTTACTTGGGTGAAGGGCCATAGCATAATGCTAGGGCACACACTTTGCATGCAGAAGGTCCCTGATACATTTGCAACTGCGCTGGCTTTATTTCAAGTAAATTCACAAATAAGAATTTCCTTCTGATGACAGCATTCATTGTTTATTCCAGGACAGGCAGGTTAACCCATTTCTATGGCACTCCCTTTGCCTTTTGGGAAAAGTTCCAGACACAGAACTATGACTGGTTTCAGACTTAGAACTATAACTGATTTACTTAAGAACATAGGAAGCCATCTATTGCTGAGTCAGACCATGGGTCCACCAAGCTCCGTATTGATGGGGAACTCTCCTCAGCCCTAGCAGCAGCAGCAGAAGAAGAGGAGTTTGGATTTGATATCCCGCCTTTCACTCCCTTTAAGGAGTCTCAAAGCAGCTAACATTCTCCTTTCCCTTCCTCCCCCACAACAAACGCTCTGTGAGGTGAGTGGGGCTGAGAGACTTCAAAGAAGTATGACTGGCCCAAGGTCACCCAGCAGCTGCATGTGGAGGAGCGGAGACGCGAACCCGGTTCCCCAGATTACGAGTCCACCACTCTTAACCACTACACCACACTGGCAAGCATGGACAATGACCAAGGATGATGGAGAGTTGTGGTTCCCCCACCTGGGCAGAGCCAAAGGTTCCTTATACCTGGATTGCCAGCACTGGGGTCTCCCACAGCCCTACGTGGGAATTGTTGGGAACTGAACCTGGGATTGTCTGCATGCAAAGCAGATGTTCACCCACTGAGCTATGGCCTTTCCTTGTAGGAACAGGTGATGATAGGAAGAGCCCTATCAAGCCAATGGCTCATCTAGTCCACCATCTTGCTCCCTTAGTGGCCAGCCTGTAGCCTGGGGACATAAGGAGAAAAAGTGAAGATTGGCAATTTCTGCTCCCGTTTCTGCCTTCATTGGAATTCTCTGACATCCTTAGACATAATGTCAATTTTGGGTGGTGGTGGTCATCTGAACTGATGTCTGAATCTGCTGTAAGGCAAACTTCAAGTGCCTCCTGTTAGCTAGAAAGAGTTTTCATCCTGAGGAGCATTTCTTCCATTTCCCCCTGAACTCCTTGGTGTGTGTTTTTTTTTGTGGGGAGGGGGCTCCCACTATCTTCCCCTGCCCCCTAGAGCTGACCCCCCAATAGAACTATTAGTAGCAGGCAACAGAGAGCTCGTGTGAAAAATTGGCGAGTGGAGGCATATTCTTAATTGCAGCTTGTTCCAATCAGTACAAACAAACCTACATAATATGAATGCTAAATTTTGCCTTGAAAGAAAACACCCAACTAATTTCAATAAACACTGCTTTATATGCAAACCTTTGCAGTGGTGGTGATGAAGGAGGACTGAGTATATTTTCCTTGGTGCATTTTTTTTAAAAAAATTGCTTGGCTTTTCAGTTCATTAAGCTCCTTTCTCACTTCCTAGCCCAACCCTGCCAAAATGGAACAAGGCGTAATTGCCAACCACTTTGACTGCCCTGGCTTTGCTGATCCCCTATAGCAAGGAGAGGGAACCGGCGACCCTCCAGACATTGCAGCTCCCATCATGAGTCCCTGTCAGGGAGATATGTGGGATATAAATAAATGTAAGAATAAGAATAAGAACTCGTGCCCAAAGACTGTGCTGGCTGGAAGCTGGAGTCCCCTAACACGACATGAAGGGTCACAGCTCTGTAGTGTGCCTCCAGAAGCCTTTGTCACTGCAACTCTGATAATGGAAAGAGAGCCTGCCTTATTTTGGTTTCTGCTTAAAAAACACCCAGCAGAAGAAGAGAACAAAGGCAGGTGGAAGGGTTCTGCACCCCTTGCCTGCACCCCTGCTTTACGTGGTATAGGCACAATTGGGGAAGTGTCAAGGATGCTGCCCAGCCCAAAGGAATGCACATGGCAGGTAGCTAACTCTTTTTTGTCAAAGATAACATTTACAGTCACTTCTACAGCTCTGGATACCTATGCACACCAATCTAGCCTCTAGGCAGCTATTCTTAGGTCTATGCTCTAAGGAGCAGTTGCAGCAACAGGGGCCCAACTCTCCCTCCACCAGTTTATGTTTCCTGCTTGGCAGGGGGGTTGGACTTGATGGCCCTTGTGGTCTCTTCCAACTCTATGATTCTATGATTCTATGTAGCTTCTCCGATGGGCTGTGTGCACACAGACGGAGACTGTGCCTGCGTGGCAATTCCCTGTGCTCATCCCTTATCAGTCCCCTCCTGGTTCTGGGAGATAGTGATGCAGGAGAGGGTGGGGAAGCACCAGGACCTTCACTTGCCAGGCCTGCCTCTTCCTCCTCTTCTTCTGACCCATCCTGTGCTCCACCCTCAAGCTCTGAAGCTTCCTCTGCCTCTACCTCTTGCCTCCTGGCTGGTACAGTTCCCCACAAAGCATTGACCCCCCCCATTCCAAGTCAGACTCCAGCCCCCTTCCCCCAGGGCACAATTGTCAGCGTCCTGCCAGTCCTTGACTGGAAGACAGTTGTAGCC